GACCAAAAGTGGCAGTAAATGCATTTATAATGTAAAAAAAAAAAAAAATTTTTCTAACAGACAAGCTTTGTGACGACTTCACAGTAGCTTTTCGGTTACTGCTGAGTGAGTGATATGACCTCTAGACAGGCGTCTGTGATGTGCTGTTGACAGAAATGTCCTCTCCATCCTCACTGAGTGTGACAGGCTGCTAATCGCCTCAGCTACTTCTATAGAACCACAGCCAATTTGCATCAACTGCTCCTTCACCTTTAATGATGTATATGAATGACAATTAAAGAAATATGAACACTGACTTCCATGGCAACAGTCAGAGAGGAATTTGAGGTAAGCAGCTTATTAACAGCATATGAGGAAACTGTGATGTCTAGGTTTACTCCACAAAAACCAGTCATACAAGCTGCCTGTCTCAAGCATTTCCCCTTACTCATATTCTCATTTGAACATCACAAACATATTTGTTTTGATCTGTCATTTCATAATATGTTGTGTTGTTGCCCTATGCTGACCGGCATCTTTTGTCTTTGATGAACTGTGCTGCTGTCATCACTTATCAAAATGAAATTCTTGATCAAGGGAAACTGAAATTCAATTTCACAGCTTATATCATTCTGTTTAGGATACAGGCTAAGGGTAATACATTGTGCCATATTTTAAAGAAGACCTGTTACTGTGAGTCACAATGCTATCACATAATATGGCATTATGTTAATAAATATTTGACAGCCTACATGGATTAAGCAAATCCACATTATGACAAGTCTGGATATAAACAGTTATTTAAATAGAAATGGTTCTTTTAAAGATGGCATGAAATGGAAATTCATCTTTTTTCTGAATGCATGTTATTGATCTTATTTTAAAAAATATTTTTTTACCTTGAAAAGGTTTTAACTCTATCTTCAACAGATTTCTCTCTTGTTATGTATGCTGGACCAATCATTTAGTCTGCTGGATTGGACCAAGTACCCACCCTACTTTTTTTTCCTTTTAAATAATTACCGGATGAACGTCACAATATCAGAAATATCTGTTGCTACTTCCATTACATTGTGATATTAAAAATGTATGTCAGAGTAGAATCAGGCCTTATCAGTGTTGGGAGCAAAAACAATTAAACTTTATATAGATTTTTTGGTTGTTTATCCATCTTTTCATGAGTGATTTGAAATTGTTTTTTGGCACCATGCGCAGATTTGCTTATCTTATTTGAATTGTCATATTTCTATCTTTGAACGGTAGTGTAGAATAGTAATTTTAGTAGGTTAAAAAAATATAAATTAACATGTACTAGTGTGGGAATTGAGCCCGTACTATTTTGACTGACGTGAAGTTTCCACACAATGTCGTCTTTGATGTTCAGTAGCCAAGGGCATCTCTACTGCTGGGGTTCATTTAGATAGTGATCAGATTTACTGTATGGAGCATGATTCAGGAAAGTGGGAATTACCCAGAATCTGTGACTGAACACTGATAAGAGTCTTGAAATTAAGACCAGTAATTCTGATTTGAAATGTAAGCTTGAATTTAATTAGAAAATCATCCTAATAAAATCTAAATCACGAAACTTATGAAAATACTGTCAAATGTAATTTGTTTAGAACATTCTTTGGGTTTTCTAAAAGTTTCACTTAAGCGTAACCTTCAAGCTTGACATCTTTTGAAAGATGCTCCACCACTGCTCAAGTCAGTGTTTTATGCTATTCATGTACAGAATGATCACATTATGTAAATATGACAGGATCAGATTCGTTATTAACAGTCTGAAAGCTGGAAACTTCTGAAGTGACTGTGTAATGGGTGTTTATCATTAAGAAACAAAGTGCAGGCCCTTTGCTGGAAAAGGGAGAGGCAGGAAGAGTGTGATGTCAGACAGGGAAGTGAACGGGAAACAGAACGAGGGGGAGGAGTGGGCTGTGGAGTGCGCGGCGGCCTTCCCATTTCCTGGCAGCTTCTCTCTTTCTCTTTCTGCCAGTGCTGTGAGATTATGAGTAGAGGATGAAGACCAACACAGCTGGAACTGTGATTGTTCCTTCTACTACTCATTTGCTTTAAAGAGTCTTAAGAAAAAATAGAGGAGTACGTCTTGTTTTTTTTCATCATTCATCAGAAGACGACTCTGCAACATGTACAGTGGATATGGAGGTATTCTGAGATTTATGAATAACAGTTTTGTGAGATATGATCTTGGTATTTATCATCTAATATTGTTGAGTTACAGCTGGAGTGTTGGTGTTCATGTTGTAAAGGGTGTTGAGTTTTGGGTATGTGTACAGTCAGGCGTGTTGTGAATGGAAAATTTTGGATGTTTATTGAATGAATTTTCAGTTTTTATTGTGGAATGATGTAGAAAGATTTCCTTTTCTCAAAGTTAAAAATCGCCAACAATGGCTCAGCTAAATTTTGTTTTGCCTCACCAATGACGCTGGCAGCCATAGTTTAAGTACACAAGAAGTGATAATGTGGCACAAAAGTTGTTTCCTATTAGATTCTTTTCCGAAAAACAGAAAATTCAGCTGAAAAGCAGTAGGAAATTAGATATATATTCTTCTCAGTTCTGTGGTCAGCAGTAGTGAAGTGAAAGTAATCTGAAAAGACACATGATATAGTTCCTCACATCAGGAGTTGTGTATGTTTTCACAGGCCTGAGTTGGTTGGGAGGGCAATGATGGTGGATTTGTGGTTTTCTGCATTGTCCAGCACTGTTTCTGTCCAGATGTTTCAGGGTTTTGTGGTGGGACAATTGTCATCCTGGGACAGACGTCCCACTGGGTTCCCATGTGATGGTTCAATTGGAGTGAGAGAGAGAGTGGACACTCAAAGTGTGTTTACTTTGGGCTACGGTTCAGCCTGGCACCTCGGGGTCATCTAGAACAAACACACAGGGAGGTCCTTAAGTTTAGCCGATCCTCCGGGACTATACCTCTGGTTTACTTAAGGCCTGTTCAAGCAGAAGCTGTAAACACTCATTCAGATGATCCTCACAGTTCCAGACCACAGGCCTGGCCAAATGTTGCAGAGAACTGTTGAAAGAAATGGCTTCTTATTAATGATATCTCTTAACTTTTGAGCTAATTCAAAGATTTGCAGTTGGAGAGGGAGGAAAAGGGAAACAGAGCCAGTTTCTTGTTTCAGGCCTTCACTCAGAGAATGAAAGGAAGGATGCACCATGTGAGGCAAATGTTAAGTGCTTACGGATTTCAAAAAGCCACATGACTATTATTAACTCTCAAGGTGCTTGTTGTCACATCCTGGTATTGAAGAAAAATTTCCACAGCAGCATTTCATTACAAAATATTGATTGATGATAGTGATAGACCGATATAGCAACCTGGCCAAAAAAGTTCAGACAATATTTTAAAATATAAATAATATATTTAATATATAAAATGTATTCTAAAAATAATTGGTATTGGCAGGAAATTGCATTTATTCTTATTTAAAACATTGAGTCCTTAAAATGACATTGGGCTAATTAGATAACCACTTGTGATGCACTGACATTTTGGCAACTGAAAATATTCAGCCAAAAACTAATTTTCAGGTTTGTCCAAAATGGAAATCGAAACGGAAATCATGGAGATTGACAATATAGCTAGATTTCTTGTTTTTAATCGATCCAAGAACCAAGATATTTTAAGTCTATACTGTTTTAAGTTGGTGCGCAAACAAACAAAACATCACTAAACCTTATTTGTAGTGGGCCTACCATCCAATTAACATAATAAGCTTTGTGTTTGTTACTTTTGATATGAAACTAAGTCGGAGCTTTCCAATTCTGTCAATTTTATAACAATTCAAACAATACATTTCATTTTGACACTCTTTAATAAGATGTGAACCGATCAACTCTTTACTACTAGCTACAGAACGAAATAAACATGAAGAAACATCAGAAGGTATGTTGAAAGAAATGTATCATGTATCATACAGAAAATGTATACAGAAATGTATCATGTCTCTTGTAATCACTTAATGTTTTCAACTGCAGAGAGATGTCATTCAAACAGCTTGTAAACAATATGTCACGTAACATTACATTTGCCTGTCAATGTCCATAAACATGTTAGTCAGCTAAAAAAAACATTTTGTACATATACATTTTGGTGCATAACTGTTAATAACATTTGCTAATATATTTGTATGAATCATTTACAGAGCTTTATATATTTTTTATCTTCAAATTGGAGGTCATTTTACAGGGACAGGTTGTCAAGTGGGATTGGAAAGGTGCAGGATTGACCCAGATATCAAGCTGTGATGTTTTGGGAACCATCTGAAGCTCTTTGCTTGTTCCCGGAGAGGTTTTTAAAAATTTATTTTTTTGGACACAGCTTTAGGTTTCTTCCCCTCTGACTGTGTACCGTACTAGTGTTTGTTTGACAGACACCAGGCCCTGGTAATCTCTGATATGAATGGAATGTGTCCGAGACAGAGAGGCTACCGGCTCCAACATAATGAATGTCCTATCATCACGACTTTCTCAGGGAGAACGCACTGGCAAGCTTGCTTTTATTTCACAGGTGCTCACCCCAACCACTCACAATGTGTGGATGGAGCTCGAAAACTGGCACTATAGAGCTTCGAAGAACAGTATGCTACATAAAATGTAGCCTGGTAAATCATCACATTAATTTGAGTTGGTTGACAGAGTGTCTAATGGTTGGTTTCCAGTTGGTTTGTGTCAGATCAGGGGTGGGGAGGCCCCCAGGTGCTTTGTTGCTCTAGAATAGTCCTGGAGCAAAGCCAGACCACCAGAACAATACAGCCACTCTGATCCACACGCTTCAGAAGAGCCTGACCAGCTTTGATTATTGTGAAAACAGTTGACATGCAGTTGGAGTTTCCAAATATTTCATAAGTGGTGGCTTTGGGTCCTGTTGGACAGGTGGGAACCCGGCACAGAGCAACAATTGGAAGGATGAGGCTTTGATGGTGTTTATTTGTTCTTCATGAAAGGCTCCGGTGTATGAAGGGAATGTAGGAGACATTTAATTCCCACACAAGTCATGGTGAAGAAGAATGTGTCACTTGCCTTGTTTACCTGGTGACACAAAGGAGGAAGGAGACTCGCCAGAAGGTGTGTTTGTGCTTGTTAAGAGGTTTGTCAAGGGAAATAATGTCTTCTTAATTACTGATGTTCATTCAGATGCTGTTGATTGAAATGGATCTTCTGTAGGTTTCTTTTACATGGCAGTTTTTTGGGAGTCACTGTAATTGGCTAGAATTGAATGAGTGTTATTTTGACTACTCTAAGGATGATGAAGATTAGTTCAGGGATGCGCTGATATTAAATTTCTGTCCAATACCAATGCTAGTTGTTAGTTGATAAATGCCTGATATTATGATTTTATATTATTTTGTATATATATATAAATAAAAAATAAAACACCAACACCTAAAATAAATCATTTCAAATGATACAAGTGAATTTAGGCATCACAAAATTATATAATGTACAGTATGAAATTTGGATATTAATTTTGTGATTTGCTAAAGATGTTATTAAACAATGTTATTAAATTATGTGTTTTTAAAGACTACCTTTGATACGTAAAGATGATGGCTAAGGTAGTCTAAAGATAAAAAGGGAAAATTACTAGTGTTGTCAAAAGACCCGGTATTTCGGTACCAAGTCGGTACTGAAAAAATGAAAACGTTACGGTACCAGGTTTTCTTAAGTACCGGTGGTACCGAGTACCCGGTCAACCCGGTTCTTGATGCGCTATCCTCTT